ATGATTGTACGAGAGAGCCATGACCATGGACCTCTGGCCAATTATGGGTCAATGCCGGGCGAAAATCATCGGATTAGACAGTTCCGACCGAGCATCTGTTGAGTAGATTGTTTTCGGAAATGTCCGACTGGCACAATCTTACCCAATTATCACCGGAGCACGGACAACGGCGAGTGTCTGTCAATCCTCATTGATCTTACGTTGATTGGACATCCCCCATCGTTTGTATTCCCTTCCATGTCTGGAATACCGATATACAACATCGGTCAGCAAGTGGTGTTCGCTTCTTTCACCAATTTAGGCTGTAAAACAGAAGAATTGTCTGATTCTGGCTGGAGAATTAAGACATGTGTTTCTTGTTAAATCATTACTAATACAAATTATAGGCCCCAGTTTTAACGATGTGTCATGTTGTGCTTTTATTGCTGTATAATGGATTAATTAATAAAATTTATAAATGCATACAGCATATTACTGCGGTCTATATATGTAGTGGACACATGTGTCTTACATCTAGTCGGAGTCCTTGAAACTGTGGAAGTATTCGAAACCAATTCCCTAGCACGAGACAAGAGACAAGTGTTACATGAACGAGATATGTTTTTCCTCGTTCTGGTATGTAGTTCAAGGGCAGTTTGCTATTATGTTGTTGCAATGTCTATCAGTGGTCAATATCTATGGTATTGCGGTCGATACAGCACAGGGAAGCATAAGAGATATGGGCTTGTGTAAGTATAGAAGTATATTATTTCGGAATTCTGTCAAGTTCCCTCATGAACAAATCCCTCATAAACAAAATGTCCTCTTGTATTCGGCCCCAGTGAATAGATTTCATGTATTCGGCCCCAGTGAATAGATTTCATGTATTCGACCCCAGTGAATAGATTTCATGTATTCGGCCCCAGTGAATAGATAAAGACAACTCAATCTAGACCTACAAACTATCAACAGACACATTATTCATTGATTAAGGCAGATCATGATTTGATATGGTACTTTCTAACCTTACAGAGCCACTGGGCTATATATGTCTGCGGTTAGTATGTATACGTGTGGCGTCAGTCAGCCATATCGGAATGTCAGGTAGCTGGCTACTGACGACAGCTTTAAAGGTATAACATGTTGATAGCTTACGTTACGAGAACGCAAGGCTACACGTTTTACCTTGGACATGACATAGTGGAAACATTGACTGCAGACGCCATGTTTTCCTGACACAACACGGCACCATCATATGGTATGTATGCACTCAGCATGTAGGCATTCTGGTGACCTGAATTATTCACATACAATACACGGTGGGAGGCACGCCATGTTAAGATATTGAAGTTTACCTGTGAAGCATTCATAAACATATGTGTTAGCCTATAGCTACAGGTATTATGGCGAATCCAATCTGGGTCATATAAAAGCTTGGTAGCTTGGGAAACTCCATGTAGTTTAATAAAGCATATTGATACGTGCAATAATCAGGTAGGTTTGCCGACCAGGTACGTTGTTTAGGTATAAATAATTGCGAGAACGGGCATGTATGTGGCCACAGGTAGACGTAAACAAGATTTTAAATCCTGAAAGAGGTCACGTGCTAACGTGTTTTTAAACTACCACTTCCGGGAGTGTGTTCGAGCGTTAAACAGACATGCACCTTCGTAGATCTGAACATGAATACCAACATGGCAATGTTCATGACATGAAAGGTCAATGATGATCTAGCAGTAGTATGACAAAGCTATTTCTTAATGGCAATGTCGGAGGTTCTGTTTGTAAACAAACGGCTTGACAGATTTCTCTTAGTAAATAGATTAATTATTCCATTATATTTGGCTCTGGGACGAAGTTCATCGATGTTTGAAGTGAAAGCGCCGATTTCGTGAATACAGTTCTGTGTGAACTCAATACATGTATTCCTTTTATTGTATTTTCTATGGTCACTAAGGCTGGATACATAAAAGGATTAGTGTCCTCTGTCCGTTTGTGTATGAGATTTTGTTTATAATTCGTGATGGTGAGTTTTGTTTTACCAATGTCATGAACTCTTTTTCACGATAGTTCGACACCACCGATTGAAACAAAACAACAACGCAGATATAGGTTTGTTCCTTTTAACGTCTCTATGGTCAGATACATCTATCTGAACCGTTTTGTTGTAAGCCGGACGACTCACGCTTACTTGTTTATTAGCCAAGCAACTCAAACATTCTAACAAGTCACGTTTGCTATTTCAAAGTAAGCGCGCGCCTTATACATTGTAATGCACACAATTTGATATTGCATTGTATGGTATGACAGTGATATACATGAACGAGTCCAGGAGTCTGGACATCACTTGTTTTATCAGATAAGTATATTTGCATAAAGTTACAAAACTATTTTTCCTCAAACGAGAAATTAATACATGAGTAGGGAAACAGTGAATGCTGTAGTACATGTCGTAGGCATTATTTGTCTCCGTCATTACTCGTCAGATTGGCCGTGGGCGACAGACATTGTCCCTACTGACCTTTGTCATCCCCTCCGGACATTTTGGACGCCAGCTTAGGTCAGTTTTAACATCTGATGTACTGTACAACTCTGTTCACGCCTTGATCTGACAGCTTCCACTAATAACTCAGTTCCACGTTGAGGTTTTTAGCAGATTCAAGGTTTCTGATAAATATCCTCGTCGTGATGAAATTCAATGTATGGTGACGTAGTGTCTATAAAAGCATTTTGGCATATAGTTAGTCTTTGTCTTTCTTCGACTCGATCAAGGTCATGAATTTACAATTTCCTACCATTGACAATGAATAATTATATACCTTTATTTTTAAGACCGAGCGAAAAGTTCTGTGCAATATGTTTTACAAAATATTAAGTCTCCACAACTTTTATCATACTGAGTAGATTGTTTAATATACATGATATCGATTTGTTACCCGAGTTGTTTTTCTTTGGCCGAAATTCGGTGCCATTCCAAATGGAAAACGTAGCTATTATTTACCAAAACCTGTTTAAAATTCTCCGATCTCACTTACAACAATATCTAAAATGAAATAATCTTTCATAAGAACGTCGTCCTATTCCAAATTCCTGTCATGGACCTCGTACAGAAAATAGAGAGAGAAAGATTCTGGTTTCTTGCAAGCAGTTTCCATGTAGGATCATTGCACACCATCCGTTCCACTGATACTGTGATCTATTATCCTCCACTTCGTTGTGCTATATTCACATTACCGGGTGTATACTATCACATATATAATTATCCTATTAGGCCTCAAAACAATAACACATCGTGCCCGATAATATGCACGGTTTTCAAACAATGGAATGTCGAATTTCAAACTGTTATTAGGAAATATCGAATACCAAACTTTACAAATTGCTACTTTGTAAGATTTCGCAAGGGCAAGAATATGCTAACAAAGAAAAAAGGATCTGCAAAGGAAATGTCGTTTAGTAAGATTCTGTAAACAAGGAACAAATAAATCATCGTTTCAGAAAAATATCTGCAAACAGAATTCGTCGTGAAGTAAGGATGTTCGTGCTTTAAGAATACAACATTGGGTGAAGATTTTGTTCTAGTTTTACGTCGTAAATGACACGAATACCTGCAGTATTTGATATCCCGTCAACTGATGGTTATATAATGGACTTGACTGGAGTTAAATACAGGTTTACTGAAACACGTCACACAGATGTGTTTGTAAATCTGTTGATGTGTGACACGCTACTGAAATATTGATAAGACGGGAGTATAGCACACGACATTAACTGTTACAGGTAAACAAGAGATACGGAACAGTGGATGTCTTTATAACACAGCTTGTTTCGTCAGGGACGCTGCGCGTGAATTCCGTTGGCTGAACATGTTATTAGCATTTTGTTGATAAAGTTTGTATATTTGTGTTGCATAACAAAGGTAACGACCAGTTAAACATGATGCCGTACTTCGATGTCTTATTTATGTATAATACTTGTGAATCAACACTAATGGTGTTATTTTTGATTTTCACGGACGGTAAATCCGTATTTTGCGATTGTAATTAAAGATCAGAATATTCTTTATATATTGATCAAACGTATATTAACCCATCATTCAATAGTCAATCAAGACTCTTTGTGTCGTGTTTTGTTCGGAAGATACAGAACGTACATCATCCTGAGCTGTATGATAACAGGAATTATGCAATACTATCATACGAGAATTGAGACAAGATAATGTTCCCCTCCTCCCAGAAAGGTCTCGCCCGCACGTAGGCATGTAACCCGGCTTCTATTTGCCTGGTAAAGGTCAGCCGGGATCAGCGTCGCTAATCATTCATGGTACGTAACCTTGACATTGTGAGTGACGCGTCCGTTACTTTACCGAGTTGCTGTGCTAGACGCCACAGCTTACGGTACACGGCTGTAACAATATTTATGTTCTTATGTTTTCTGATAGTATACCACAAAGGATGCCAGTGGTTAATTTTTCGGAGTGATTGTTGCTTTTATTAATGTTAGTTCATTGGAGAATAATATAAAAAACATTGACATGGATCGCGTATAAACTATTTAAGTGGAAAACAAGGGATGTAAACAAGAGGCTATGTGCAAATACGGCTAGTTAACAATCAGAACGGAGAACCTTCTTACTATCGTGTGTCCCTTCTTGCTATCGCTTGTGTATATAAAATGATTATCATTTTTTCACACGTTTTGAAAAATAGGCATCTGATGTAGGGCTGTAGAGCGCACTTCTCTACCAAAGCTAGAGAACGAACCTCTTGTCAAAATGTCGAAGTCAGGTGTTGTGGACAGAGGTAAATCGGGCTAGGAATCCAGGTAGCATGACGAGGTGAGCGAAACCTGTACGTGACAGGGTTTTCTAACACAGGACGTAACTAATTACCATCACCAGGTCGTTAATGCGCACGCCAGTAGCGCGATAAGTCGTTTTACAGATGTTTTTCAACTTATTTGGTTAATCTTACAATCATATATTTGTACTTACCTTCTTTTACTGATGGATCTTTTTACAGCTTGCAGGAAAGTCAACGAAACAACCAAGTCTTCCATCGTCTCGAAGCGGAGCCGGGAGTCCTAGACCTATAGCTAGTCCCAGAAACAGTCCCCGGTCCAGCCCTCGCCCGGGGACTCCAAAAATGGCCAGCAGTCCGGCGGATTCAAGTCTAGTCAGTGTGACCCCCCGGAGCATGAATGGTACATGGATGTCGGGGACAATGCATAACACCAGTCTAGATTACAGCAACATGTCGGGCAGTCGGTACCAGCGCCCCCGACCACCACTACAAAGTTTTCAGGTAAAATATCACCATTAAAATTATCCTGATGTATATATCTCGACCTCTTCATGAGTGTGGCTATCTGCATAATCACAGGTTTAAATCTATGTACACTAGTTTAGGAATCCCGACACCGATCTGCTCGCCACATTGTTACACGTCTGTTCTTTGTCTCCTCTCACAGTGTACCGTAGACATGTATTTGTAATGGTCAGTCTGTTTTCTCTGTACCTACATCAGCCAGCCTGTTTACATTGGTATGTTTGGTTTGTATGTTGTCTACATGTAGACAACTCTGGTCAGTCTATTGTCTAAAACTCTTGTGTCCATTGTGTGACCTTTAAGTGTGATGGAGCCAAAACTGTGCCGTGAGTGATTGTGCATCTTTATCATGTGACCACGGCTGTTTCAGATGTGGACATCGACGTCATCTGACCTCGGCTGTTGCTAGGATGTAAAACAAAGAATACACACAATTGTTGCTCAGATGCTCAAATTGATGAATGAAAAAGCGAAGGCTTAAAGCTTTGTTGAAAGATGTTACATTTAACAGCATACACTATATAGCTATTTCATACCTACGTACAGGCATGTTGTCCGAAAATGATAATGTATGTGAAATTGTCCTAAAATACACTAAATTCATTTTGATTTTATATTGTTTTCGACACAGGACTTCAGTGATACTGGGGTGTTCTCGTCTCAGGCCACATTGGAACAGCGGCACCGCGAGGAAGAGGACCGGCTTCAACGCTTCCTGTTGGAGGAACGGGAGAAAGAGATGCGTCGACTTGACGAGAGTATCGGTCAGGAAAAGGAAGTGGCCGCAATGGAACTACTGTCAGCCTTCGAACAGATGCGCCTACAGGTGAGTCACTTCATTAGCTGTAGATTTGGGAAACGTTGTGATAAGACCTACGGACGTTGAACGGAACCAACACTCGGGTGAACGTACCTTTAACAATTTGGTATTATACACTGAATGTCAAACATGAATGACACAGCATCATGCAGATGTGAAGTTGCCAAAGGTTAAAGTCGGAAGAAGGTTTGCTGTGTCTAAATGCAAGTAAAGTGTTCATGTTTTCAAAGTGTCTCTCTCACCAACTGTACATTATGGTCACAAGTTGACCTTTGGAGCCTATATTTATCAATAAATTCTTGTTTTAACCACAACAGGGTCAGTCCCCGAACCTGATGGTCGAGCGGGAGAGGATAGAGGAACATTTCAACAAGTCACGTGAGGACCAGATGAAGACCATGATAGACAAAATTGCCACAGAGGAGAAAACGAGGTCAGCCAAGATGTTGGAGCGACACGGCATGGAAATGATGCAGCTCATCGCCGAGAAGGTTAGCCCAAATAGATGAAAAGGGTAAATCACAATCAGTGATGTTCGTGCACATATTGTGCAAACAGGACAGGGAAAAAGTAACGTAAATAGCATTTCTGTCTGTGGCAATGTAATATTTACATGCATTCGAATGCTTTATTATATGTTAGCTATATAATGAAATTTCACCGTACATCACTAGTGTACATATTATGTGAAGGGATATTTTTTATTTCTTAATTTGAAAGCATTCCTTATTTACGGTCAATTATGATAACCAGGTCCGTATTGGTAAAATTCGTATTCGCAAATCAATGTAACATATATTGACCTGGTGCCATAACATCATAAACCTTTACGACCGATTTCAATTTAGCTATAATCTAATGCCATTTTATTTCAAGGATAGAGTGTTGGACCGCAGCGCCCTCTTTGACCACACAATGAGACCAGCAGTTGTTCCCCCTGAAAGCAAAAAAGCACAACTTTACTCTAGTCCGGCACAGTTTGAAGCCATTGACAAACGAGCAATAGAGGTGAGGACTCCCATAAGTAACAAAGGGCCTGTAGCTTAACGCATTGACAGGAGTTAAATGTAGTCCACGAACTAGATTTTGAAAATTACAAAACAATGATATACACAATTTTCAAACAGGTGTTGCCCAATATATCATTTCTGTAAATTGGTACATTGATTACCATTTTTTCACAGTAATTATTGAATAAGTATTAAACATGACAACATGTTATTTCTTTTCAAGCGTACATTTTGCACTAGCACCAGACCATAGTTTGCAAGAAAGGTTTGATATGTTGTATAAGTGATGACAAAAGAGAACATCTTTTTTAGATGAGGATTTCTTTATTTTTCAGATTGCAAAAACAGAATATGGAAGCTTTACAGAACTAGTGAGAGATCTCACACGGGACTGTGCAAACGAACTTCAGAAAGCCAGGTAAACTTCTGTAGGTTAACGTTTTAGGAGTAAACTTAAAGGATTCTGTCGGTAATTACAGAATATCTGGTACATATAAAGCTGTTCAGGTAAATGGTTTAAAGGTGAACTTAAAGTCCCATGTACAGAACTGCATAAAGATGGACTACCTTGTCTAGGTTGACCTTTAGAATGAAACAAATTTTCCCTGTCAAGAACCAAAGAAAACCATGTTAATATACATTTCTTCGTTTCCACGTATTCAGCTATGGCTAATCCGGTATACGATATTGATCCATATCGTTATAAATGTAGTTGCAGAGAAGGAGGATGATTTTTAGTATCAATCCACACTTACAGTTCAAAAAATCACTATTGATAGCCAATGGACTGTGATTAGATGAACGTCGACAATTGTATTTATTCTTTCAGTGTGTATATACGTTCCTCAACCAGGCCTACTGGATTATCTAGTTGTCACCTTACTGTAAGAGCCCTTATTAAAAGCATCCTGAGTAAAAGAAAATAGCTTATGATGGATGACGTTAGTAATAAAATCAGTGGAATATGCTATCGTTTTTGTTGATCATGAAAGATCCATGCTGTTGAAACATTTCTTTAAAGGGAGTACAAATACATTGTCTGTGAGTGTACAGTAAGAATGTAAGGATCTTCTGCATATTTGACCTTATGACATAGTATGATGTATTAGATGATTATTCTGTAAATGTTCCCGAACATCCTCTGATTGTTTGTAATGTACAAATAAAAGTCAGGCTACGTTTTTAAATGATCAATGTTAGATAAAACAGGGAGAAAGCTTCAAAAGATATCTTTGTTGTTCTAAAATATACAAATTGTGTATAACGATAAGGAAATATTAAAATGAAATCTTTGTGTAATTAAACGGACTTGTTACTATGAAGATATTTGCTAAGCATCATTGCAAGCTGATTATGAACATAAATCAACAGAAGCTTGTAAGGAACATCTAAAACCTTATTGGAACGATGATTTGTCTTTTTGCGCATGACGAAATTTTGAATAAAAGGTGGGGGTTTTCGGAAATAAGCCGACAAAAAAAAAAAAAATTGAATTAGTTCACTAAATGTACAAAACTGCTTTAGACGTAAATTTCTGGATGCGTTAAATGCCTTCATGAAATAAAATTTAAACGATATTGACCGGTTAAATTTAAAGGTGAAAGAACTTGATCAGAACCTACTAGAAATATAACTCATCAAACAGAATTGAAGATTGACCATACAATTTCACATTTACAATTGGACGTTTGTGATGACTGGACATCTAGTATGACAGAAGGTGGGCAGAATGTTTATAAAAATTCGACCAAAAAGCTGAAGGAATCAAATAAAAATGACCATGAAGAATGCTTTTGTAAAATAGTGCTTTGTTAGTGTTTATGGTCTGTTTGACATTATTTGACCACACGCTGTAGTACATAATTTACGTTATGATATATTATCATATTATTCTCGATTACAGGGCCCTATTCCGGTGGGTGATCGCCAAAGATCTCGGTAAACACAATGTTCACGAGATCATCCGTCCGAACGCAAGAGCGTCGATACTGAAGGGGGTTCGAAGCGGCAAAGAGACCTATCATCAGCTCTTCAAAAAACTCTGCAAGTACGTACCTTTCCTTTTTTTACTGAGTAATGTTTCGGCTACAACAATACCTCCCCCCCCCCCCCCCCCGCAAATTTTATTTTTTTAGGATGCAATTCAGTGTTGTCATTGACTGCCTCCGTCACACAAAATATACAACGGTGAATAATTCTGCAATTATTTTGAATAAGTTTTTCAAACAATAGATGCTAATTGCCTTATAGGGGTCTGTATGTTAAAACAACATAAGAAATATTAAAACTATTTCAGCTTTGCCGGACTCCACTGTGAAATCATACTGGGATTCTCCAAGGGCGCTGGGTACAAGCCGGGCATGCGCATTGAAGGTGCAACATTCCGGAACTCTTGGACAGCTGTTGCCATTGATGGAAACTGGCGAATAGTCAACTGCACGTGGGCAGCGCGTCATGTGACAGGTCACAAGGACGACCTGCCTCAAATGTTCCACAAGTACGATGAGTTTTATTTCCTAACGGATCCTGAGGACTACATCTACCAACACTACCCAGACGACTCAGCTTGGCAGCTGATGGACATTCCTCTGCCATTCTCAGAATTTCAAAATCTGCCAGTTGTGAAGTCGCCATTCTTCAACTATGGACTAAAGTTTTATTCAAACTATGGTGCTACATTGAACACAGATACTGGCATGGTTGAGATCCGAGTGATAACGCCCAAAATCTTGGGATTCGGCTCGTTACTGGAGCCTTATGACAAATCCGGTGAAAGTTCAAAATCAGTTGAAGGTCGGACTTTACTTCGGTTGGTTAAGAACGAAGCCATATTTACCATAAACTTGCCCAAAACAGGTTTGTATCAGTTTTCTGTTTACACGGGAGACTACTGGCAGTCGGAATGTCTGGAGAGCGCGTGCTCATTCTTAGTGAACTGTAAACAAATTTTAGGTGTGGCCTCCCCTCCATATCCACCAGTCCCATTCTATGGTCCAACTCCCGTAATGGAGAAATTAAAGATGAAAGAGGAAAATCAACTAGATCCGCTGATCGTGTCAAACGGAGAGAACCTTGAGATCAGCTACAGCTTGTGTGAGAAGATTAAACTCACTCACACTTTTCAGTATTTTGACGTCAGTGACAATTCTGTGTCAGACATTGACCGCTACGTGTTCTTAAGGTCAAGGACGGACGCTCTGGCCAATTACATGGTCAGATGTCCGAAGGAAGGGTTCTATATTTTCTCGCTCTATGCCGCCGACGGCGAGAACGAGGCTCAGACTCTTGACTGTGCATATCGCTACTTAATTATCTGCCAAGAACCTAACCCAGCCGTAAATGTATTCCCCAAGACATTTCACCGCTGGCAGCGCTGCACCTTACATGAGCCAGTGTCGGGTGATTTGATGACGCACAAGCGTTATACGTTCCGAGTGGATGTACCTAAGGCGGTAGAGGTGTTCTTGGTGATTGGAGAAATCTGGCATCATCTGAAACGGAAGCTTGCATTCACATTTGAGGGAAACATCAACACCGGTGGTACACCGTGTACGGCGAAAATATACGCCCGGTTTTCGAATGAGCGTGACTCGTCCTTGTTTGCGCACCTTCTTGACTACGAACTGGTAGACGATGCGGAAACTGAAATATAAATGTCTGTGACGGTCAGGATTTGCAGCTGGTCATCAAATGACAGTCAAGCTGTACATAAGTAGCACCTTAAAACAAGTACTAGAAATACGAAATCTGGAGTTCTTTCCTAAATTCAGCTTTCCGGTTATCACATTCCTTATCGGTGGAATTCTATATGATCTTTGTAAACAAAAACTAATGTCCGTTTTAGTGCTTTGTTGGTAATCTCCGGACTTCAAACAGCTGTTATAAAACTAAACTACTGTTTTAACTTGTGATATAGCTTGCTAAACATTTGCAACGAAATAGTAGATTCACTCGATACATTGTCTTAAACTGTCTAATGACTGAGCATTTTAGAAGAGCAAATGTTATTTTCCGATTATCGTCAAAAGCATTCAGGTAATTATGAAATCATTGGTGATGTATGAGACATTTCATTGGTAAACATAGAACTGGAGTTATTATAGGTTTTTCCGTAGAATGGCAGATGCATCCCATACCTTCAATAGGTTTTCGCACTAATGAGTAGTCTTGGATAAATATGCAATGCATTAGTTAAAATGTGGGTATCGCATTGGAAACATTTTCATTGATTATTACATGACAGACCGCCATAGGCAAACATTTCATATGACAATACTTCGGATATCATATTAAATATTGCTGGAGTTTCCGGTTGAAAACTGAACATTCCAGTGTAAATAGGTGATTTGGAAACAATACCAATAATTTGAAAAAGGTCTTAATGAACTAGTGATAGTTGCTTTTCTTCATTATATATAACTCTTGTTAGTTAATTTATAAATGTTACCAGACATTAAGTTTAGTCTGTATTTCTTCTAAATGAGTTGGCTCCAGTTAACTTAACGTCAATGTTTGGGGCACGTCTGGTGTACTTATATGTATTGTTGGGGATTTGTTCCATGTTTTATCTATGTATGATTTTGTAAACATTACAAATCTGATTAATTTCGAAAGGCAGCATTTAGGTAGTCGTAGATCACATTATATATATAATATGTACGTGTTGATATAAGATGGTCTGAATCACCTAACTAAAGTATATACACATGTTGCAAACTGTCGCTGAAATATCCATGTGATTAGAGTTAATATATAAGTGTAGGTTTAAGTGTTTGGTAGGAATGTTGTACTTGTTTGTAATACCATCAGTAATACCACATACTTCTGTTTATCATTATAAACACAAACAAATGAAAATGTTGTACATTATAGTGAGCTAACATTCCATTTTCTTGTCAAACATTGTGCATTATGGCATTTTCATTAAGGCTATCTACAACCATGCATCTATGTGTCAACATCAACGCCGTGAGTTTGAATAGTGTATCTACATACCGGTAAATCTGCTATATTGATTAAGTTCCTGCTAAAACTGCCAATGTTTTTCATTTCACATTTAATCAATCATATGGCATCGCCGGTGGGAATTGAACAACATAATTCAACTCATTTTTATGCATCAAAGATACATTGTAATACTTTTCTATATAAAAACAAACCTGCAATTAATTCTGTTACAATATATCTAGATTTACATCATGCATAAAACTGTTAAAATATACATTGAATAAAATATCACATTTCACTTGTCTTACAATAATTAGTACTAAAACAATCGCTCTATTAGAAACAAATATGTCACTATTGATAATCACACTCGCTTTCTTAGATGGTTTGGGGCTCTTTTGAAAGAAGATTTACTCCTGTTCCTTCTGATGTTATTAATTAAGTAAAATAGATGAATTAGTCAATATAAAACTGTTTTAGTGTTTTCAATATCAGGTGAACCAAAACGTTCCTATGGCTTTTTCCCAATAGTGTCCTCAAAAGTGAAATGAAAACAATTAATCAATTTAATGCGTATGTTGCTTAGTTCGGGTAATGAATATCATCAAATAGTGAGCAACCCATAGCTACCTAGTTCTCTTGCAAAATATTTGGTTATTTCAAAATGCAATGAAGTTACACACTCACACTATCTTGGAACGATTTAATTTCAATTGATAATAATATGGCATAATATAAAATTCTTAGCAAAATAGTTAAAGTGAATATACTGTAAAAGCTACTATTCTACCTTATAAGGCTATTTATTTCTGCTAACAACAAATATTTAAAGTCGCACGCACTGTCTTGTTTACCAAAACATTTTTGTGGCTATTTTGAAAGAAGATTTACTCTCGCTCCTTCAGATGTTATCAGCTAAATAGTTCCATCATTTTGCATTATTGTTATAAATTGCGGTCGATTCTACATTTGTAAACAATGGAGCTTGTATTAACATTACCAGTTGATATGCTGATTAAGCAGTTGATTAACACTTGCTGACATTTTGATTAGCTCAGATACCGAACTACGGAACGTTCAGCGCTCTTTCATGATTTACATTCCTTCGCAATTAAGATCATACCAATATGTTTGTTGTATATGTTATATGTTAAAACCTATATTATTTATTTACGTAAATTCCAAAGCTTTACTGATATGGTGTATGTCTATGGTCTATCTTATACCTCATATAACCCTAACTGTACAGAAACGGAACCCGTTTGTTATGTTAGTAACCGCTTTATAAACTATGTTATGATTTGCTTGATGTGATTCAAAATAAATATGATACTATCCTATATACGTCTTTTTATTGCTTGACTACATACTAATTATTTAATATGACTGACGTTTCTCTATAACGAGCAGTGCGGACTAACCAATTTAAGTTTACCGTCATTATTACATTAATTTATTCACCGCTTTAAAGTTTTTAAGAGAAAAATAAAAAATAGAAATTATGTTAATTGTCTATGAATATCATGTTTAATACATCAAAACTAACCTACATATAGTGACATTGTTACGACACGTAAGATAATGTATTAACGGCATTCATTGTGACCAATGATTTGATTTGTAGAACTGTTTTATGGTAATGGTGTATGCAATGTTGTAATAACTGAAGTCCAACCCGTTTGGTTCAGTTAGCAATATTAGCCGTAGAAAGGTTAATCTAACCTTACGCCTATCAAATGTTATTTCGATATGTTTAAAAGTGCCACAAAGTATCGTCAAGATCCTGGTCACGGCTCCAATATAAAATGAATGGTTTCTACTTACGAAATTGTAACCATGTTTACTGATCTTGGGACTATTTACGTCTTACAATCTGAATACTGTTGAAGAATAAACAAAATACAAAATCTATTAGAAGTGTGAAGAAATAGACATATTATTTTTATAACCAACAACACGTAACACTGAATACGGATGACGATATTAGGCTCTTTAAAGTATAAGAAACTCTCCATAGTGCTAAAATGTTTATACACAACTACATGTAACCTAACATTTTCATCTCCTCAGCAATACATTAACTGTACTCTAATTCTACAAAACTTAGAACTTTGGTTCCGTATTTCCAGCAATATCACAGCTAGCTACCTAGAGGAAATGTACGCTAAATAAAAAATTTCATTCTGATGTAATGACATTGTTCCGAATGACTCCGGTTAGAAACAACCCCTATAGACGAATCCAGTAAGCTGTTTTTATCGTTATCAATGCTGCCAGTTTTAGGCTACTAACTTCTTGTACAAATGTCTTGTATTAAAAGTTTTCTTTTTGCCTTAAATTTGCGACCATGCAGCGCTGCGAACAACAATAACTTACACACACTGTTTAAACATATGTGTTATATAATTTTGCATAAATGACAATGTTACTGATTTCCCTGTACAATTTTTCCGTTATGTTTGTTTTATATGATAACACACCAGGTGTAGTCTGAACATGGTGGATATGTGTGGGAGGGTAACATAAACACGTATGTCGTGGTGATTGTACCATTTATTATACCGTCAGTATACAGCGGGTATATCGGTCAGACACATGCACCTCAATACGTAGAGTTCAGTGGGATTGCCGGTGAGAGATAGCTCAAGTATTTGTTACGAGTCTACATGTACAAAATCAATATAATATGCACGAGTTGTGCCCCTTTAAAGGTTGAGATGTCGTTCGTAATGAAAAGAAAATGATTACAATGTTTAAAATATTGAAAATTCAAGCAATTCAAAATTGGTGCAAAAAACATCGTAAATGCTGTTTCGGGCACTGTAGTGTCAGTCCGAGAATTCATAAAATAGTTAACAGAATTTGTACACTTTACGGAAAATATCATTTCACGTGAATGTCGCCATTAGGAGGGAATCGAACCTCTACATCAGCTACTGCAATACTGTATATAATACACGAACGATACATGTCAACATACAAAAGCAGTTTCTCGTGGCCGGGTGAAAACAACTTATATACACATGCGGGGCCTATATTTCTTTCTAATGTGGAGTTGTCTCTCTTTGGTCTTACAACGATGACGAACTTTGAAAGCTAGTACTAAAATGTGTACATAAATATATCTTTAAACCCCTATTTATTTAAGAAATAAATTGATGAATGGATTAAAAGGTATGGCCAATAGATAATGCACAAATATAACAGGCGATTTTTTTTTTATCTATTACACAATGCAAGCAGAATTAGTCAGACGAGATCTGAGATATAACGTGTATTTTTATCGACTTAAGGACCAACCAATCAGAATGCCAGAGATGTCGATAGGGGGCGGAGTTATACCGGGTGCATTTGTTGGTTTGAACTTTCAGTTTACGAGAGAATTGTGTAGCATGTGTTTGTGTGTACACGGACCTACAACACAGTGAACGTGCATTATATATAGAAGTGTCCGATAGTACCTAGGATAACTGTGTTGTTATATCAACACGGAATAATGTCTTAGTGTGTATCTATAGCGGAATTATTAATTGTATAGTGTGTGACCAGTGTTGTGTGTGATTCATAGATAACTAATTACACCTGACTTCTTTATGACAACAGACATGTAACCACGTACCCGTTAAGATCGACTAGAACTGTACGGAATACATACCTAAGTACTATGACAGGTACCGTACCGTTAGATCTTAGACAGCAGCACCCGTAAACAGCCAGGTAAGAGATAAATATGGATGACAGGTGCTCGAGCGACGGAGACGACTCGGAGTGTGAGGATTTAAGGTCGCTCCCTAGGGACCCCTGTTATCGATGTGAAAAACGTGTGTATCCGGTGGAGAAAGTGGATGTGGGGGTTCTGTTCCACAGGCGGTGTTTCCGGTGTCGTGTATGTGGATTACAAATGACCTTGAAGACGTTCCACTGGGACCAGGAAAATACCCCAGATGTCTATTGCAATGTCCATCTCACCCGAATGGTGGGTTCCATTGACAAGGACGCTATGGGGATCCAATCAGCCCTTAAAGCCCCTAAACGAGGGATTAACGCTAATGAGCAGGTAGGTCTCTTTTAACTTAGTTACTGGTACCTGTCGTACCCGACCACAGTATTCCGACTCGTTGCCTTGTTTGGCATTGTACATGTCGTAATACTGCACAAATGTATCCGCTGTATATAACAAAAGGATCAATATTGTATATAGTGCACTAATTAATACAGAATTTCAATATCCCCACCTAAAGTCGAGCTTTTATTGGAGGATATATAGGATGTCCAGAGTTTACCTTATCCGTCTAATATGACATATTACCAAACAAGAACACACGTAATGAATGTTCAGGTGAGACATGTGTTACCTGTATTATCAGGTGTGCACATCAATGTTTCATACGATTATGTACGTAACAGTACAAATAGCGTATCTGAGTGTGTCGGTTGCCATCATTAATGGTAAAGTCAAGCTCTTGTGGAAATTACGTGGAATTTAACGTTTTATAAACAAGTTATCTTGCTGCTTGTTAAATTCAGCTCAGGGTCCGTTACTTACAAAAACGCACTATAGCCACTTTTAATAACTATATAACTAGCACATCTTCAGAGCTTTTATACAGATAAAGCACGGACAGGACAACCGAAACCATAATACTGTCCTACGCATCCACGTAAATTATCGTTAGTGGCTTTTGTCAGAAACAATTACAGTTGACATCAAATTATTGTGATAAAGCGACGATCCTTTCCGCATCCACCTCTCATGGTAACAGCAACCAATTCCAGGAGGAGGCAAAGTGTGTTTTGATCGATGTCTAGTGCAGGTTTCTCCCACACCGGCAGGACAGTATCGCGAGCAACCTGTCGGAAACACGACGACAGACCTTCATTTCTCAATGTTGGAAGATGTTGTGAATGTTATGAATACAATGTCTTTAAAATGTGCAATGAACGCCTGGCGAAAATCGATAAAACCTGTTATAATATCTGACGTCAAGTTATAGAACGATAAGACGATGTACACCACCTTGTACACGTATATCGTGACCTTGACGTGTGTAGAACGTGTCGTCAAGGTGAAACGGTGCACATGCGGCGTTACCATACAAGTATATGTGGGAACACGACTTACTTTTGTTATTCATTTGAGAGCTCAGTGACCGTTCTCTTAAACTAAGGGTATCATACGTATTATCTTTGTTTGATTGTACAGATTCAGTTCAGTATGTGAAAGGTAAAAAAACCCATGTCAAACGAAGATTTTATTTTATAGTTTCCAGTGTTTTTTTGGTATCCTATGATGTCAAAAATGTATACGGCTTCCAGTATTTGAGTGTTAGACAACGATTTGTACACAATCAAAAATAAGGAAGTCCGACAAAAAATTGTAAAAGTATAAGACTGTTATCATCACGTCAGACATGACTGTACACATCTTGGTACAGATTCCAGTCTATTAGTATATGACGAAACTAGACAAAGAAGATTCATTTCAAAATACTGATCAGTCGTATAATTTTAAGGTCTGCGATTATGGTCAGTTTAGCAGACTAGCATGACATGCATATGAAACAATCAACCAAAGTACAACAACGCTTGTTACGGAGTAGTCCCTCCCAATACCTGAGTTAGTACCGAATGGTACCCTGCCGTCTCCAATACTTTGCCCTAAATGTGACAACGTCGTCTGGGGCTGCTTGGACATGTGTCACGCGACACATTCTCCAACACCCTACAGGTACCCCGTGTAATTATCGGGGTTCAACCTGTCATAATCCGGGTCACGATCCGTAGCCGGAAGCTCTTCCGAGTCATCGTTACGTACACGGTGTAAGATTACGTATAATTTCGATGACCTTCCAAATGGTCATTTCTTTTCAGTATTGCGATCAGTGTACAAAGAAGTAAATTGGTGGAACTCTGTGATGTAATTGTCATTCAGGTTTGTCAGTGACGTGGGGACATCTGCTGTATTGATAGACAACCAGGTATATTTCCAGGTACACGCTACTAGGGTTCACATATACACGTTATCATTATTTTACCTCAATTAACGCTAATATAATAGAGTATGAAAAGTTAACGCAACATACTGGATCTACGTTAATTTCCTCGTCGTTAGTTTACTGCAGGAGTGATGTCTACCACAGGAAAGAGCTTGATTTAAAATCATATCGAATGGTAAAACGTTACTTTAATATTGAACATACATTGATCGGGACGAGTCCTGGTGTCCAAAATCTGTATATGATGCTAACCTTGGTTTAGTTTTGAATGTTGGTGCTCAGCGAAAATTGGCCAATTGTTTAACCTCAAAAGTTCCCACTTCAGATTTTCGTATATCACGTTA